AAAACACTATTTTTTCATGCACCTGTCAATTTTGAGATTTTGGGCTTTTTGGCTTTTCATAAAGTGTTTTTTCAGAGTAGTGGAAAGAAAACATCCAAAAGACACTGTTAAGTGTTTCTTTTATAGCACTTTATCTATTTGTGTCAATAGATTCAATTACAATACATATTTTTAAAAGCCGTTTTCTCAAAATGAGTTTTTTCTCCTACACTGAGCCATAAATCTCCACTTCAGTAGCACTTACACACACCAAACTTTACATTTTTATTCCTGTTTATATCCTGAAGGTTTTTACAGAGGGATTTGTTCATATATAATTTGCTTGATTATATACAACATTTTGTATATAATCAAATGATTATATACAAAAATTGTGAAAAAAAAATTGTGAAAATATAGGCTATTGTTTTCTGTCTGTTCTAAGTTTTTTCTGAATTATGGAGTGACAAAAATCACCTCTGTAAAAACATTTGACTCTAATATGTCAAAAAATAAATACATAAATAAATAAATAAAAGAATTTTGAAACTGACTTCATCCAGTGTTCAGATTATTGTACTAGACGTTTATGCAAATTAGTGCATATTTCATTAAATAATGCCTCATTTGCGTATTTAAACCTAACATTTTAGAAAAGTTGTCATACAAAAAATATTTGCAATTATCAATGTAATCAATGAACTGGGTAAGTAAGACGATAACTATTAGTTAATGTTTTTACCCTATCCACCTGCAGCCTTAATAATTATATCTATATATTTAGAGTACTGAAATGAAATAGATAAATATGCAAGTCTCATATTTTTTACCGTGTCAAATCCTCTTTTTTTCCTTTATACTGTAGCCTAGTGGACTCCATTTCCCATCATGCTTTGCTCTGATTGCACCGCCCTTGCTGGGGCGCCCCGTGGCCTGCGTCAGTGTTGCGCAGATTCGGTTTGAACCGAAAGCGGAGTGTGACCTTCTCTGGCGGCGGAGACCGGCAGGAGACCGAGCGAGCGGATCCATGTCAGCACTCCCGTCCACGACCCTCGCCACGGAGATGAACTGCAACTTAGCTGGAGATGAAATCGGGTAAGACACGGTGTGTTTATATGACAGTGTTTGGATGTAGCGTACTTGTCCCGTTCCAGCGGAGAAAGATGCGCAGCGGGCCGCCCAGAGGACAGCAGATCCCAGCGAGCCATCCTGCCGAGCTCCGCGACTCACTCTGGTGCACCACTAATCTCCTTAAAAATGACAACGACATGTTATCGGTTCATTTAACTGATAGAATGCTTCAACAAAGAAGCTAAGAGATAGATGGACAGAAAAAGATCAGCTGTCAAACTGGAGGCTTATGTCACTCTGTTTTTATGCTGCAAGTTTCTTATAAACAAACTGGAGTATTTTATCACTCTTTTTATAGTGTGAGTTTTATAAACGCTTGCATGTCGCTTTCTTTCATATGTGACCCTGGACCACAAAACCAGTCATAAGGGCCAGTTTTGTTTACGGTAGGAAATTTACAAAATATCTTCATGGAACATGATCTTCACGTAATATCCTAATGATTTTTGGCATCAAT